GATTCATGACGAGATGCGATGGGATGAGACAGGGAGGGCCTTCATTCTATCTGCCACGGCCACGAATAGCTGGACGGACTTCCGGAATAGCTTAGTCCTCTCTCTATAGAAGGCCAGCACCCTGCATACATTCAATGAGTGAAGCCTATGCTCCCTATCACAGGAGTGTGGCTTGGGGTAAAACACTGGGAGGAAGATGACCACCAACTCGTTCTGCACTCTGAGGGGGTATGAAGCCTGAAGGTGTATTGAGTGCTCTACACGGAAGTCCTACAGAGCGAGGGCTTCCCGGCACAGGGGAGAGGAGCGTGCACCCCCGTTTGTTGATATAAAACATTGCCATAGTGTTGTCCGTGAGGACTGAAACGCACCTGTCCTCTATATGGGTCCTGAAAACCTGGCACACCAGGCACACTGCTCTCAGCTCTCTGACACTGATATGCAGAGCGAGGTCCGCCTGAGACTAGAGGCCTGAGGTCTTCTAAATGAGCTCCCCAGCCCAGATCTGAGGCATCTGTCACCAATGAGAGAGATGGCTGAGGGCTGGTGAAGGGCACTCCCACACAAACCGCCTGCAGGTCAAGCAACCACAGGAGGGAGTCCAGTACCGGGCGGGGCAGAGTTATGATGCTGTCCAGAGCGTCCCGGGCTGGTCGATAAACCGATGCCAGCCAAGACTGGAGTGGGCAAAGTCTGAGTCTGGCATGCTGCACTACGTAGGTGCATGCAGCCATGTGTCCCAGCAGTTTCAGGCAGTTCTTTGCTGTGGTCATTGGAAACTGCCTGAGGCCCCATATGATGTCCCCTAGCAACTGGAAACTGGCTTTCTTTTGCCCCGAAGAGGGATGCTGCCGCCTCCTACCACTCCTGCTTCGCCTATGCGGAGCGTCCTGGCGGTTCTGCAGCTGGTAGGCTCGCGTGGCGGGTTGAGGCCTAAAATGCCTGCACTGGGTAACTGGCATGTGGCGCCCCAGAGAGTGCAGAGTAGCCCTAGAGTCCTTCAAACTGTGAAGTCTCTTATCAGTTTTTTCAGAGAAGAGGGAAGAGCCCTTGAAGGGGAGGTCCTGTATAGTCTGTTGGGCCTCGTGTGGCAGTCCAGAGACCTGCAGCCAGGAACCCCACCTCATCACCACCCCCATGGCCAGATTACGCGAGGCTGCGTCTGCTGCGTCTAAAGCTGCTTGCAGGGAGGCCCGGGAGACCAACTTCCCTTCCTCCACCAGTGCAGAGAACTCCGCACGAGAGTCTTGTGGCAGGAGCTCCACAAACTTAGCCATCGCCGAGCAGGTGTTGTACCAGTAGCAGCTTATGATGGCCTGTTGGTTAGCTATGCAGAGTTACAGGCCCCCTGTCGAATAGACTGTCCTACCGAACAGGTCCAGTCTTTTCGCCTCCCTATTTTTAGGGGTGGAGCCTTGGAAACCCTGGCGCTCCCTCTGATTGGCCGCATCGACCACCAAAGAGTCTGGGGGACAGTGTGAATATAGGTGTTCGTACCCCTTAGATGGTACGAAATAGCGTCTTTTGGTTCTCTTGGCCGTAGGGGCCAGAGAAGCGGGGGTCTGCCAGAGAGATTTCAATGTATACACTACTGTCTTTATCAGCATGGCAACCCTCAATGGACCAGAGGGAGCGAGGATGTCCACAACAGGGTCCGACTCCTCCGCCACCTCCTCTGCCTGTATCCCCAGGTTTTGGGCAGCCCATCGTAAGAGCTGCTGGAGAACTCGATTGTCCTCGAGAGCTGGGGCTGCTGATGTCCCCGCGACCACTTCATCTGGCGAGGATAAGCATGAGAAGACTGGCAGCGTACCTTGCTCACTACCCTGAGCACCCTTCGGGTCCCTTGGCACAGGGTACTTGAGAGGCTGTGATGCCAGTGGGAGATTTGGCACTGCGGCCGGTGCTGGTAGGTCCAGCGGTGCCGGTGGGGCCAGAGCTGGAGCCTTCAGCGGTGCTGCTGCCTGGAAGGTTGGCGCCGGAGCTGGTTGTACCAGCGGGACCATCACTTTGGACGACCGTGCCGCTGTCGGTGGTGCCTGACCCTGGCTCTGGTAGTAAGCCCAGGGTGTCCAAATGGGCCACTGGGAGGATGGCTGCCACTGCTGTGGCCACGGTGCCGGGTAGGGTTGGTGGCTCCAGCGTGAACTGGACCTCCTACTCCTCAATCTGTTGGAGTGATAAGAGTCTGCCTCCGATTCCGAGTAGGAGGAGCGGTATGGCTCCTCTGTCTGTGCGGGCCGTGCCGGGCACGGAGAGCGGAAGGTCATCATCGCAGGTTTGTCCCTAGAGTGAAAGTCACTGGTGACTTCTCCCTCCTCTGAGGGGACGATGGTACCGGGAGGCGCATCAGATCCCTGGCGGCCTCAAACGCAGAGGTCATCTTGGCGATCCGGAGACCGAGGAGGGTTCGGACTCGACTGCAGCCCAGCCGGGGCAGGAGTCGATGATACCCTGGAAGGCTGCAGGGAAGAGGCGCTCTGTCCTGATGTACTCGTGGACACTGCTGACCCCTTGGGTTTCGATTGAGGGGACCGACCCCTCTGCAGCCTCCTCTTCTTTACTGGCAGCGGGGATTGAGAGCGGTGCTGCACCGAGGCCGACTTCTTATGGCCCAAGCCATGGAGGTGCCGGGGGGGCCTTTGAGTCCTTGGTTGGTGCCGGTTTGCGCACCGTTGGCGCCGGAGCACTGCGCACCAATGAGGATGTACTTGGCACTGGTTCGGCGGGTCTGGGTCGGAGTGTGGCCGTAATGCCACCTCCATCAACAGAAGTTTAAGTCTCTGTCGGTCTTTGAGGGTTCTGGGACAGAAACCCTTAAAGATACGGCACTTCTCTTTCTGGTGACTCTCTCCGTGGCACAGCAGGCAGGAAGAGTGAGAGTCACTCCTAGGCATAAACTTGCCACAGTCCTCACAGAGCTTAAACCCTGGAGACTTGGGCATACCCCAGAAGGGAAAATGTTGTCGGGGGGGAAACCCCCCAAACAAACTAACTACTACTACTAAGAACCAAATATTAACTAAGAAAACTATGTACACGGTATACTATAAGACACTGCTAAAGCGCTTGCTACAGGAGCGAGCAATGTTCCAGCTAGCCATCACCAGCAGTAAGAAGGAACTGAGAGGGTTCGGGGGGCACTATATTGGGCGCCATGAAGGCGCGACTCCAGGGGGTGTCCAGCCCAACCCTACGGACGCTGCTAAGGGAAAAATCTTCCGGCTGGCGTGCACATGGCGCGCACAATACCTGGTTGGAATGGACATGAACAATCACTCGAAGAAGAACTTATGCTCCTAAGTCTCTTAAATGCTTTTGACAATTTTGCCAAACTTCTGACACAGCTAGAACTAGAATTCATGTCTCTACCATGTTATAACTAAGTGTCGAGTACTTAACTTCATTGCTTCTGAAAAACAGTAAGCCAAATCTGTGTTTAGCTATGTTGTTTGCAAAAATGGGGCTATTCCTGCATACTCACCTCTACAAAACACTGACATACAAATGAATGATAGTCTTTAAATAAATTACTGGATACTATTTTCTCTACATGATGGTCTTGTGATTAAAGCACTGGGCTATGTCTGGATAAAGAAGTTCTATCCTTAACTCTGCCTCAAAATTCCTACGGGAACTTGATCAAGTCAATCAAGCCAATGTTTTCAACAGTGGCTACTAAAAGTGATATGTCTTTTAGTTATTTTCATATTATATGTTATTTTGAAAAATGATTAAAAAGTTATATTTGTTTTTTTAAAAGCCAACCTCAAACTAAAATAAAAAGGCAGATTCGTATTTTGGCAATTATAATAATATATGATGAAAGGGGATTGCTGTGTTTTTCTGTACATGTTCTGAGGTCCCAGCTACACATTTACTATTTCAAAGGCTGATCTCTTCCTTTAATATTTTTTTTTCACCTCTCTCAGGAAAACAATATTAAAATGTTTCTTCTCTTTAGTATACAATTATAAAATATGCAAATGTATTTGACCTTCTAGACGTGTATGGCTTATTCAAAATTACTATGGTATGTGCAAGTTCACATTACTTTATTAAGGGGACAAAAAAGGATCTTATTTTCCACTTGTCTACTATATTCAACTTAAAAAGCATATTTAAGGTTGCACAAGGGTAACACTCAGCCCACGCAAACCCTTTAATGTAAGAAAATGTCCAGGTAAAGGTTCAATCCTTCTTTAACATACTGTAACACCCACACATCACACACCACATTTTCTCTTCCAAACTCCATCCTTCTATAAGTAAGTCCCAGATGCCTCCAACATGTAAAACAACACAACATCCCACCTGCTGTAACAGAATGTACCTTGGTGTCCACGCCCTACACACTATTGTAATAATCTTTGAACAAAGTATGCCTTGTGAGATATCATTTAAAAACTCGTAATTTAATATCATGACAAAGTGCACGCAGCAGCATTATATGTGAAGTTATAGACATAAGCTGAGATCAAGACTAAAAGTAGAAGTCTGGGGAGTAGCCAAACCAGTTTCTCAGAGACAACGGGCAAGTAGATGCCTCAGCAAGGAGTAAACAAGGCTGATAGACTATTACCTGTCTTTCACTGAGTCAATTATTTTTCAGCACCTAGCACAATGCCTAACCTACTCTGTATGTGTTGTCTCTGATTGCTACTGCTATAGAAAGAAAGACTGAAAGGGTTAGAGTTAAGGTTAGGGGATTAGGATTAAGGATTGACACCTAATTAGAAAAAATATTAACTGAAATGTAATTATACCCCTTTGAAGTTGAAGTGTTTCATTTACTCTTCTATGGAGGTCACCTCATTTGCTCTATAGGTCATGATTTACAGCTGAGCAATGTGTATATATAGTGTATATGTGAATGCACATGACAACTCATCAGGCAGTCGATGGTGATGCAGGAAATTACAATGGATATTACAAAATGGACAAAAGATCAAAGATGAAAATCTAGATGATAAAACAAGGTTAATTTTAAAAGAACAAACCTCCTGCAGCAGATCCTCTACTGAATGGTTGAATCGGTCCACAAATTCATCAATCAGCTGGCTGTGGGCTATGTCAACTCTATTCTGAATGGTATATTCTTCACTGCACAAGATGCTATAGGTTTTACTACAGGCTTCTAGAACATCTGATTCTACATGCTTCTCCACAACAAACTTAATCTGCTTTAACAAGGCATCCAGATGCTGTGGATCAGACAAAAAAGTCAGTTTTCACATTACGTAGAATATTACATAAACAATGAAACTCAAGAGGAGACTGTTAAGCAATAGATCAAAGCAGTAAAAGATTACTACATGCCATTCCAAATGTAGCCATTTAATATGAACATGACTAATCAGTCAGTTGAAAGCGACCATGAGTGCCTGCATAGTGTACCATACCTTCTCCATTCTGCCTGTACTGTAGATTTCCAGGTCAAAATACTGGGGGATTTGCAGAAGGTTTGCTACTTTCTCTGCATCAGCAGAATACTAGATTATTGAAACAAAGAAAATGAAAAACAATTAATGTCTGTACTACAGAATGAAAACATTATATACATTATCAGTAAAGAATATATTTTGTGTGAAACTGTACCTTTGAAAGTAACATAGGAAGCGCAATAATGAAATGTTCAGTCAATTTGTTTCTGTCATCTATCTGAGTTTTCCTTTCTTTTGCAGTTAACACCTGTAAAAATAAGGAAAAATGTGCTATAAAATAATTAAATGTCTTAATGTCATTAATACAATAATAAATCGAAGGGTCAAGATCCCAAAAGTGGAAGCTAATTCAAAATGGAAAGAAAGCAAGGAAGGAAGGAAGAAAAAAAAAGATCATCAGGGATGAAGAGCATGTGAATGGGAAAGCAGTAAGAACTCCAGTTACCTTAAGGGAAAACCTAATTTCTTTCATTGTGATATTGTCTCCATACATCCCCCATTTTTGGGGTCAAAACTTGGCAATACTGAAGTCAATGAAAATTTTGCTATTGCCTATAATGGGACCAACATTTGGCCCTCAGAGGAACCACTGTGATCATCCAATCGGACCTCTTGTATAACACAGGCCATAGAACTTCCCCAAATAATTCCTAGAGCATATCTTTTAGAAAAACATCCAAACTTGATTTAAAAATTGTTAACGATAGAGAATCCAGCATGATCCCTGCTAAGTTGTTCCAATGGTTAATTACTCTCACTATAAAAATTTACAGCTTTATTTCCAGTCTGAATTTGTCTAGCTTCATCTTCCAGTCATTAGATTGTGTTAGACCTTTTCTGCAAGACTGAAAAGCCCATATTAAATATTTGTTCCCCATGTAAGTATTATAGTCTGTCATTGTCACCCCTTAAACTTTTCTTTGCTCAGATAAATAGCTTGAGTCTATCCCCTAGAAGTCATTACTTCTAATAATTCTCATGGCTCTTCTCTGAACCCTCTTGAATTTATGAAAATCGTTCTTTGAATTGTGAGCACCATAACCAGACACAGTATTTCAGCAGCGGCTGCATCAGTGCCAAATCAGAGGTAAAATAACCTCTCCACTTGAGATTCGTGTTTATGCCTCCAAGGATCGCATTAGTTCTATTGGCCACAGCATTGTGCACTGAGTCATAGTAAGTGCGGTGCAAGAAAACCCAGAGCAGGGACTCTGCTCAACAGCTCCACTCAGGTCCACAGACGGGCCACCTTCCAAGTTCCATGACTTTGAGATGGAAATAGGAGACAGACTTGTTGAAAATATCTGGGTAAGGATAAAAGGGGTAAAAAACAAGGGTGATGTCATGGTAGGGGTCTACTACAGACCACCTAACCAGGAAGAAGATGTGGATGATGCTTTTTATAAACAATTAACAAAATCATCCAAAGCACAGGACTAGGTGGAGATGGGGGACTTCAACTACCCAGACATCTTTTGGGAAAATAACACAGCAGGGCACAGATTATACAAGAAGTTTTTGGAATATATTGGAGATGTTTTATTTCAGAAGATGGAGAAAGCAACTAGAGGAGAGGCTGTTCTAGATTTGATTTTGACAAATGGGAGGAACTGGTTGAGAATTTCAAAGTGGAAGGCAGGTTGGGAGAAAGTTATAATGAAATTATTGAGAGAGTTCATGATTCTAAGGAATGGTAAGAGGGGAAAAAAAGACTAATAATGGTAATGGATTTTAAGGAAGCAGACTTTAGCAAACTCAGGGAGTTGGTGGGCAAGATCCCAGGGGAAGCAATTTTAAGGGGAAAAACAGTTCAAGAGAGTTGGCAGTTTTTCAAAAAGACATTATTAAGGGCACAAGAGCAAACTATACCACTGCGTAGGAAAGAGACCACCCTGGCTTAACCAGGAGATCTTTAATGATCTGAAACTCAAAAAAGAATCATACAAGAAGTGGAAACTATGTCAAATTACAAAGGATGAATATAAACAAACACAAGAAAGCAGGGACAAAATTAGAAAGGCCAAGGCACAAAAACAAGATTAAACTAGCTAGAGACATAAAGGGTAAGAAGAAAATATTCTTCAAATACTTTAAAAGCAAGAAGACGACCAAGGACAGGGTAGGCCCGTTACTCAGTAAGGGGGGGGGGGGAGAACAGTAACAGAAAATGTGGAAATGGCAGAAGTGTTAAATGACTTTTTCGATTTCACCAAAAACTTTAGTAGCAATTAGACATCTAACTTAATGAATGCCAGTGAAAATGAGGTAGGATCAGAGGCTAAAATAGGGAGAAAAACAAGATAAAAATTACTTAGGGCTTGGCTACACTTGCAAGTTAGAGCGCATTAAAGCAGCCCCGGGCGCCCTAGCTCACTACCCGTCCACACTGGCAAGGCATATAGAGTGCTCCTGGTATTCCACCTCGGCGAGAAGATTAACGCTTGGTGTGCATTGGCTGAAATGCCCGGGTGTCAGTGTGAACGAGGTGTTGCATTACTGCGATCTGATCAGCCTCCGGAAACGTCCCATAATCCCCTTAAGTCAAGTGGCCACTCTTGTC